TTCCTTTTTTTCATTTTGGTTCTGAAGACAAATAATGAAGAAACCTGTTGTTTTTTCGTTTTCTTATTTTGGGTTTTATATTGAAAAAAATGAACGAATGATACACAGATTGTGATGTTCTGACACATCTTAATACTTGAACAGATAAAATAATAATAATTTTCAGACTTATTTCCATGAAAACAAATACAGTGACATTACCGTGAGCAGGTCTGGACCCCACACGTGAACTTTGAACAGTCTGAGCTTCCTTCCTGATCGAATCATTTTACTAAAAAAAAAAAAACATTAACTTGTAATAACGAGGCTGCGATCGTCAGGGTTCAAACTCCAGTCACTCCGGTCACTCCAGTCAGTGCAGTGTAAATGTCAGGTTCAGTTTGAGGTCAGAGGAGGGTCGGGCTGATGTGAACAGTCGCTCAGAGATAAAACGCAGAAAGAATTTACACGATACCTGATATTTAGGACTCATTTAGGGGAATTAAACGAGTATATGGTGTATGGTTTCCGAAGTGTAAGTGCGGTTAGATTAAAACAAGATCATAAACTCAAGGTGAAGAGTTAAAGATTAAAGAAGAAATTAAAATTGTTGGCTAGAGCGCAAATGTTTTCTGGCGGTCGTCCACTAACCCGAGGGTTTGAGGTTTGAATCCCACAGTAATCATATCTGTGACTGTGCACTTTCTCTTCACAAAACATGAATAAATATAATCTGTTGTCTGTTTCCATGAGAGATTTTGTTGCTTTGCTTCATAATAATAGTCCTCAGTGTATAGGACAGATAGGTTAGTTTAATGCCATACTGTGGAACACTGAAGGCAAAATTATTATTCAACATCTCCGTTGAGACAAGCAGGTGGTGTGTCCTGAAAAGTTACACAATGCATGTTTACCGTATTTTACAGGCTATTAGACGCTCTGGATTATAAGACGCACTGTCATTAAATGGCCTATTTTCGAACTTTTTTCACAAATAAACCGCACCGGACTTTAAATGAAACACAACAGTGTGATGGGTGAGTGGTTTTGTTTGTTTGTTCGTTCACGGTGACTCTGGGCTTTGTTCAGTTGTGGCGTGTAGGGAGGGTGCTGTCTGGGACCAACGGATTGTCGGCGTGTTCGCAGTGACTCAGTTGTTCAGTTGTGTCTAGAAGTGGCACATTGCACTCGCTTTTTCGGTTCGTTCCTCCGTTCCGTTCCTCGTCGGCGTGGAGTGATGAGTGTGTCCGTGGGTGTGTTTCGCTGTGCGGTCGCTGTCTGCTCCGTGTGTGTTTGTGTGTTCTGCGGGTGGTGCACCTTTGTAGTTTACTGAAGTCGTGCTGCGACACCCGAGTGGATTCGTGTATAGGGTGCTCTGGATTGTGGTGCTATCGTTTTTTGATGCGGTTAGAGGCTTAAGAGCGCGTCTAATAGCCTGGAAAATACGGTAATACATTCTGCATTTTAACATAACAATTGTAACATAACATTTGTAACAACATTTTAACATAATATTTTATCATAACTGTTACGTACTGGCGCCCCTTTTTTAATATATGGATATATATTGTTTGTATATGGATTATATATGTTTTGTGGCGTGGCTGTTAGTTGCTGTTAGCCTTTTGTGTTTGACCTGGTGGGACCGGCTGTCCTGTTTTAACCTTTTGTTAGTAAGGTTAGTTTTGGGGATACGTTTTTTCTGTACGGGGTTGGTCCAGCGCCGCATGATTTTCTTCTGTTTGGATGGTTCACCAGGTCCACCTTTTAGTTGTTACTTTGTTTTTGGGGCACGGGAGGGGTTTTAGCGTTTTAAAGTAAATTAAAATTAACTTAAAAATAAAAACTTTTACTTTTGTAACCTTTTCGCCTCCTGTATCCTCTTTAATATGTTTGATGCACCCGGGTCGTAACAATAACCTTTGTAACATAACATTTAAACATAACATTTTAACACAACATTTATATCATAACATTTGTAACAACATAACATTTTAACATAACATGACATAACATTTATAACATATCACTTTGTCACAACATTTATATCATAACATTTTATCATGACATTTATAACAACATTTTATCATAACATTTATATCATAAGATTTTATCATAACATTTGTAACAACATTTAACATAACATTTATAACAACAATTTAAGATAACATTTATATCTTAACATTTTATCATAACATTTATAACATAACATTTTATCATAACATAACATTTGAACATAATATTTATAACTTAACATTTTATTATAACATTTATGACTTAACATTTTATCATAACATAACATTTGAACATAATATTTATAACTTAACATTTTATCATAACATTTATAACATAACATTTGATTATAACATTTATGACTTAACATTTTGTCATAACATTTTATCATAACATAACATTTGAACATAATATTTATAACTTAACATTTTATCATAACATTTATATCATACCATTTTTAATTATACAACTTTAACATATTATATCATAACATTTATATCAACATTTTAACATAACACTTTCTACCAACCTACCTTTCTATTATTTTGTCTTTTTTCCCCTCGTGTTTTACCACCAATATGTGTTATTTTTTTTATTTTCTCCACACATTAACACATCTTCTGTTTCTGAAGTGTGTATTGTCCCCTCCTGTCTCTGTCACATACTTCTTCACAGCACTATCCCCCCTTTTCTGCTCTATTTTCAATATAATAAGTAAAATACAGGGTTCCAAAGATGCCCTAAACCCTCTCTTTCTCCTTTTGTTGTCATATAATTGGGTTAGCCACAAGTGCCGTCCCTTTAGCATCCGCTGCGCTAACGGGGGTGCTACATGCTATTAAAATACCTCCTTACAATGGCCCCGCACAAAAGGAGGGGGTATTTTTCACTAATACCTAATCTCGTTTTTTGATGTGAAAAGCAGCATTGAAAATCATATTACAATGACACAACGAAATGGGCAAGAAACATAGTCAAAAGCATTAACTAAAAGCCCAGAGCGTTAGGACAAAAAAGAGAAAGAAAGGATGAAAGAGGAGGACAAAAAAGGGGTAATTGAAAAAATGGCTAATGCTAAATTGGAAGAAAATGGGAGCATAGAGAAGCCAGGGAGGTATTTTGTTATTCGGACAAATACGACAAGGAAACCAAGATATTTTTTCATGTAAAAGTCGAACCAAAAAATGTCCAAATTCTGCTTTTGTGTGAAGCAGGTTTGGATGTTAAAATGTATTATGAACTACAGCTGTTTTAAAACACTCAGGTATGAGAAAGGAAATTAGCAAATAATGTAGAGACGTGAGTTTAGTCACAAGAATGAATGAATGAATGAATGTTTATTGGGACAGTAATACATAGAACATGCATGGAGAACATAAATACTTAGATATAACACATAAAGTAAATATTTATTTTCTGTAATAATAAGCGAAAATAAATGTTTTACTTGTGTCCGAAAAAAGGAGTGGGAGGAAGTAAATACTTATTTAACCTCACCCCTTTTTCTCCTGCCCAAATTAACTAAGAACATATGGACTTTTAATTTCCTGTACAATATAAGCTATAATTTACAGTACCTGCATTTCAGTACAAATCTAACAACAACACATATATGTCTATTATGTGCAGAGTTATAATATATATTATATACACAGGTATAATAGACGCATCAAGAATGTCGGACTTCCGGTCATTGCACAATCCATACTGGGACGGATTTTCCAAAAAAGTGAGCATCAAACCTCCATGTTTGTTTTCCCAGTGGGATGTGTCTATTGACAAAGTCAATCTTTTCAAGTCTTTTGAACCATATCACTTTTGTTTCTGGTTCTGATATTGTCATATTTTAGTTTTGGGATTCGGACATCACAATTGTGTGGTTGTTGGATCCTAACAGCGGAAAATGGCTCGAGAAATTTGTTTGCAAACTCCATAACTGCAAAAGGAAATCAGATGTGTGTGACTGCAAACTTCCGTTCAAACTGTTTCCCTTCCCAACGGAATTGAAAAATAGTGAAAGGTGAAGGCGATAGGCAGGACTGATCCACAGGAAAGACCAAAAAGGAAACTTGACTGCCTAAGAAATCATCCGGAGTTTGCAGCGAACATTTTGTATGTGGAGGATTTAAAGCTGGAACAAAGAGAATGTTTGGTGAATTTTATCAAGGGGAAAGACGTTATTGTCCTTCTTCCTACGGGATTTGGAGCATTACATACGTCCTGACCAAACAGCAGCGATCGGTTAAATAAAAAAGTACCCACCTACTGTCGAGCGAACGAATCCTAATGCTGCGAGGTCAGACGGTTTCTACGAAGTGAAACCAGCTGATGAATCAGGCAGTAGGGATGTGCATTGCCACGAAACAATATGACATATATCACAATATGCCTGTCGCATCCTGATACTAAAACAAAGGACATATATTTTGATTTATCACTAATTAACTCCAATATTAAGTCAAGTACATCTTTACATGTCTTCACAAGAACATGTTTGTAAAAACTATGATTTTAAAATTATTTATCAGATACATTTTGAATGAATTTGGAAATAGCACGATTAATTATTGTGAGTAATTTGATAGGGGCGTTGCACCTTTTGAAATACTGGGGTTGGGAAAATGTGTTTATCGATTTATAAATGGAACAATCTGCTCTAACTATTCTTTCCTAACTTTGCTTGTTTTTACCTGAACCTGAACCACACACACCACTAACAGGGACCATGCCAAACGGAGAATCTGTGTAATTCACTCAGTATTTGACTAATGCTCCTCCCTCGCTCTCTCTCTTTTTCCTCCCTTCTTTTCTATCTCCTCTCTTTTTCCTTCTCTCACCCTTTCTCTCTTCTCTTCCTCTTGGTCCCTTCCTTTCTCCTCTCTCTCTGCCTCCCTCTTCTCTTTCTCTTTCTCTATCTCTCTCACACTCTCTCCTCTCACTCTCTTTTTTTTTTCCTCCCCTTCCCTCCTCCCCTCATTCCCTCTCTCTCCTCCGTCTCTCTTTTCCAGGTGACAGTAAAGATGTACAAACGTGGAGCTCAGGGTTTCTGGTCGGGGAAGACGGTGAGCGCGACCGCCTCCATCCCCTCGTCCTCCTGCGTCGTCTTCAGAGTCTGCGGGGACGAGACGGACTCAAAGATCCCGGCGACCACCATACACAGCATCACCCTCAGCATCTGACCACAGTATACACACACAAACACACACACACACAAACACAGACATAAACACACACACAAACACACACACAAACACACACACACACACAAAACACACACACAAACACAAACACACACAAAAACAAACAAACTACTGTGTGCAATTTAGCAAAGAAGGGATTCAACCTGCCTCACGGTTTACTGCAAAGTCTATCAATATTTTACGACAAAACTTAAAGGTGCACTGTGTAACTTTTCGATTCAGGGTCCGTCACCTTCTTGTTTCTATGGATACGTCATTGCTCTGCCTGGAATGTCCCACAGTGTGACTTTAAACAGCTCTGCCTTACTTTTTTTTTTTTTTCAATTACAGGTGGTTTTATCGCTCAAAAATACCAAGAAAAACAAACATTGTGACTGTGAGCGGGGTCGCCTCTCCACAGATCTGACCCGTAACTTGGTCTGGTTTGGGCTCCGTGAAGATAGAAAGCGTTAATGCCATACTGCGGAACATTCCAGACAACGCAATAACATCTTCATGGAGAAAAGCGTTTGACGTGACCAAAAAAGTTGCATCTTTAAGAATTTGATCTTAGTTTTGACACGTCGGTTTAAAAAAGTTTTATTACGCAACTTTTTTGGAAGAGGGTCTGAACCAAATGTTATTGTTTTGCCTGCAATGTTCCACTGTACGGCATTAAACTCCTCTTTTATTCAGTTATTCAAACAAAAAACCAAGCTTGCCTATCCATAGTTCTGCCGTGTACGTTTGCATCGTGCCGTCTTCTGCTTGTCTCCCGTGAAATGTAAACGTTTAATGCCCTACTGTGGAACATTCTAGACAAAGCAATAACATCTCCATGAAGACAAGAGGGCTCCACGTTACACAAAACCTCCTTAAAGTACTTAAAAAAGGAAATTAATCATCAAGACGCAAACATTTTTGGTCATTAAAGGTTCACTCACTGCGTCACTTGTTTGTCTCCATGGAAACGCCTTTGCTTTGTCTAGAATGTTAAGCAGTGTAGAGTAAACCTATCTAAGCAGGTTATAGCACTAGGCTACATTACAGGTCAGATCTGTGGAGAGGCGCCCCTATTCACAGAAGGAAATGTTGTATTTTTGAGCGACAGAAACGCCCGTAATGAATAAATGCTGGATGGAAATGTTTAAAGTCATACTGTGGAACATTCCAGGCAAAGCAATAACATCTCCATGGAGACAAGCAAAAAAAAAGTTACACTGTGCACCTTTTAAATAGAGGAAAACAATATTGTAAAGTCAAATCTACATCTGTATTTCCAAATGACTTTCTGTATTTGTCGGATCTTATCTAACGATTTTCTTAATTTTACTCGTTTTAACTTAAAGTGGATTCTACTTTCTATTTTTGCAGTGTTTTTTTTTTTTTTTTTACTAGAATCATGTGATAAAGGGAACGGACAGAATGGTTTAATAATGAAGGACTGTACTATAAAGATGAGAAATTGTCTGTTTTGGAGTTTTGAAAAGCCAAAAAAAAAGTCAAATATTTTGTATGTTTTTCATTTTGTGTTTTTGTTTCCGCTAAATCGAAACACTAAAATTATTTAAACGGTATCTTATTTTTTCACCTCAAGTGCCTTTTACTCATGTTTGTAATTTCTTTTTTTAATGTGTAAAGAGCTTAAAACTTAAAGGGTCCATATTACGACATTTTCTGATCGATGTTTTAATGTTTCCTCCTCAAAAACAGACCTGGACTTGTGTTTTTTTTCATTCACACGTTTGAGTGACTCTTTATTATTAGTCTATCTATATCTGCAAAGCTCAGAATGCTCTGTTCTACATGAAGTGGTAGTTTTCAAGTTAACAGCTCCTCTTTGCCTTTTGTTTTGTAGATTTTTAACCCTGGAATTGCCAATCTCTACTCAGGGTTCCCACGTTCTTGGAAATCCTTGAAAAGTCATGGAATTTTTGTATCTCTTTCACGCAACTACAGCGTTCTGTTATGATTATTTCTGAGTGACTTTTTTTTTTTTTCTTGTTTAGAAGAGACGACAATAAATGCACTGACAGTATTTTGATGTAAAAAAAATATAATCCCAAACCATAAGGTGATTGGAAAGAGTTCACATTTCATATTTAGTCCTTAAAGTCTGATCAATTCTACACATGTAGGTGCTGTAAAGTCATGGAAAATTCACTTTAGGTCATGGAAAAGTCATGGAAAACTTTAGAAATTTTGTACATGGAAAAGAGTGGGAACCCTGTCTACTGAACTAAAGGTAAAATGAGCTGTTCACTTGAAAACTACCTTTTCATGACATCACAAAGTGGAACATTTGAGCGTTTGAGCTTTGGAGGTGTGACCTGGAGCCCTGGAATTGTCATCATCCAAATGATTCTACTGAAGGTGTATGTATGGAGTTTAAAAACACAGTGGAGCACTTCCAGTATTACCATGTTGTTTTCTCCTCAAAAACAGACCTGGAGTTGTGTTTTGTTTAATTTACACATTTTTGTGTAAATGAAACAAAACATAATCCATTATTAGTCTTTCATCTGTACATCTCCAAAACTCAAAATGCTCTGTTCCACCTTGTGATGTCATGAAGCTGTAGTTTTAAAGTTAACAGAGATTGGCAATCCCAGAGTCAAAATCATCCAAATGATTCTAGTGAAGGTGTGTGGAGTTTAAAATCACAGTGGAGAGTTTCCTGTATCACCACATGACATCACAAGTTGGAACAGAGTGTTTTCAGTTTGAGAAAAGAACTCAGGCTAAATCTGCGGATGTGTTTGTGTGTTAAACATCTGTGAATCAAAACAAAACACAACTCCAGGTCTGTTTGTGACGAGGAAACGACATTAAAACATCAGAAAATAGTTTAATCTGGGCCCTTTAAAATGAATTATAGTCAAATACAAATGTTATGAAACTTTAAGTAGAGGAGACATTTTCTGTACAAGGCCTGCAAAAGTAGCTTTTTATTATATATATATATATATATATATATATATATATATATATATATATATATATATATATTTAGTTTGTCTTGTATTTTTATGGCAGGCCCATGTTTATTTCTACAGTTATTTTGCTGTTTAAAGATGCATTACGTAACTTTTCTGGCTTGTAGTACACCACTTGCTTTTCAGTTGCAGATGTTTTTATTGATTTATATACCTCAAAAATCTTGTATTTTTACTGTAAGCCGGGTCGCCTCTCCGGAGATCTGACCTGTAACTTGACCTGATAGCATCACCTTGTCTCCATGGAGATAGATAATTTTAATGAGATACTAAGGAACATTTTAGGCAAGTCAAAAACATGGATATGCCAGAGTTTAATGCCATTTTGTGTAACATTTTAAGCAAAACAACATCTCCATGGAGACAAACTGTTGGTGGAGAATCTGTGTATCATTTGTTCATTTTCAAAAATAAGAAAATAAAAAAAACAACAATTTTCTTCATTATTTGTCTCCAAAACCAAAATGAAAAAACAAATAATGATTTGGGTTTTTTTCAGTTTTTGATTTTGTGTTTAAATGAAAAGTGGAAAAAACTGAACCAGGACTAAACCAGGACTAAACCAGAACTAAACCAGAACTAAACCAGGACTAAACCAGGACTAAACCAGAACTAAACCAGAACTAAACCAGGACTAAACTAGAACTAAACCAGGACTAAACCAGGACTAAACCAGAACTAAACCAGAACTAAACCAGGACTAAACTAGAACTAAACCAGGACTAAACCGTTTTCAGTCCTGGTCTTGTCTCGGTCTCAGTTCCGGTCTCAATCACAGTCTGGTCCTGGTCTGGTCCCGGCCTCAGTCCCAGTCTCAGTCCTGGTCCCGTTCTCGGTGTCAGTTCTGGTCTGGTCCCGGTCTCAGTTCCGTTCTCGGTCCTGGTCCTGTTCCAGGTCTCAGTTCCGGTCTAAGTCCTGGTCTCAGTTCCGGTCTCGGTCCTGGTCCTGTTCCAGGTCTCAGTTCCGGTCTAAGTCCTGGTCTCAGTCGTGGTCAGGTTTTAGTCCTGTTTTAGTCCGTTATCCATTTTTTTTCCATTTTTCATTTAAACACAAAATCGAAAACTGTAAAAACAAATCATTATCTGTTCTTTCATTTTGGTTTTGGAGACAAATAATGAAGAAAATTGTTGTTTTTTCTTTCGTTTTCTTATTTTTGGTTTTATTTTGAAAAACAAATGAACGAATGATTCACAGATTATGTAGCGTACTCTCCGCTAGAAAAGTTCCACAGTGCACCTTTAACTGTTTTGTTTGGATTTGTGTAACTGTTCTGTAAAAAGATTTCTGGACTCTTCCGATCGCGTTCAAACTGTACAGAGCTTTATTAAAACCTCCGACACTTACGAAGACTGTAACGTATTCAAATTAGCACAACATTAGCGCTAATCAACCGCGCGCTAGCCTGTCCCGCGTCAGTTAGCGGGCTGCTGCAGCTACGCTAACAGCTAACAATCGCGTTTACGGCGTCTGGCGGCGTCCCAAATGAGGTTAGCCCGATCTCATGTACCAGTGCCTTGGTTAATGTAATAGAAGAAGCCGCGCGTCCAGATGTTATCGCTCTGAGTGGCAGTTCTTCTACCTGAAACAGCATTATGTCGTACTCAAGCTCGCCGTGTTTACCCGCGTTACCTGGAGCGAAACAGGTCTGTCTTATGTCACGTTCAAACGCACAATTTTCTACGTTTTTCAAAGCAGGTCAATGCAGCAAATGCTCTTTCACTGCAAACAATAAAGAAAAAAATAATAATAATAATAGAGAATGGCTTGAATTAAGAGTAACGATTTGAGTCGTTTTGACAAGATATTTTTGGTATTTTATGGCTAAAAATATTTAATTGTGTTCAGTTGCTGGAACAAACTTCTGCTTAAAATTTAAAAATAAAAATCTATTGCAGTTTTATGTATTTAATAGTCTTAAAACAAAACAAAAAATCTGATAATAAACTCTTTTTTTAGTCTGGATGGGACTTGCAAGTCATGATTTAGACTCGAGTCAGATTTGAGTCAATATTTTTAGGACTTGAGACTTTGACTTGGTCCCAGTCTCAGTTCTGGTCTGGTCCCGGTCTCTGTCCCGGTCTGGTTCCAGTCTCAGTTCCTGTCTCAGTCCTGATCCTGTTCCTAGGTCTCATTCCTGGTCTCAGTTATGGTCTGGTCCCGGTCTCAGTCCCGATCTCAGTTGTGGTCTGGTTCTGGTCTCAGTCCCGGTCTGAGTCCTGGTCTGGTCCCACTCTCAGTCCGGGTCTCAGTCCCGGTCTCAGTCCCAGTCTGGTCCCAGTCTCAGTCCTGGTCTGGTCCCGGTCTCAGTCTCGGTCTGGCCCTGGTTTGGTCCCGGTTTCAGTCCCAGTCTGGTCTTGGTCTGGTCTCGGTCTGGTCCCGGTCTGGTCACGGTCTCAGTCACAGTCTCAGTCCTGGTCTGGTCCTGGTCTCAGTCCTGGTCTGGTCCCAGTCTCAGTCCCGGTCTCAGTCCTGGTCCTGGTCCCAGTCTAAATCCGGGTCTCAGTTCTGGTCTTAGTCCCGGTCTGGTTCTGGTCTGGTCCCCGACTTGGTTCAGTCCTGGTTCAGTCCTGTTTTAGTCCTGGTTATCTGTTTTTTCCATTTTCATTTAAACACAAAATCAAAAACTGAAAAATACAAATCATTATCTGTTTGTTTTTTTAAGAAAATTGTTGTTTTGTTGTTTTTTTTTGCTGTCTTATTTTTGCTTTTATTTTGAAAAACAAATGAACGAATGACACACAGATTATTCTTAATTCAAACAACAATTTTTCGTAACATCATTATAAGTTTTGCAGTGATCGAATGTAGGACTCAGGAATTTTCAGTGCAGGAAATGAAATGAACGCTCGGCTTCAGGAAACATCATCCACGCACGAGACTTTCAAAATAAAAGCACTTTGGGATTTCAAGCCAACTTCACAATAAGAGGAAAGGATGTCATGTTTTTAGCATGTTCTGTTTTGCATCAGTGTGTTTTATAGTGAATGTTTTTATCTGTGTTGAAATAAAAACTATGGTTGGAATGAATTTTGTTGTTTATTGTTTGTTTTTAAGTCCGTCACCTGTTTGTTTCCATGGCTACGTCATTGCTCTGCCTGGAATGTTCCACAGTGTGACTTTAAACATCTTTACTTTACATTTATTCGATTACAGGTGGTTTTATAGCTCAAAAATACCAAGAAAATCAACATTCTGACTGTGAGCGGGGTCGCCTCTCCACAGATCTGACCCGTAA